TGATTGTGTTGGCATAACAAAAATGAAAATAGTGGAAAAAAGCAAACGATAATTTACAAGGCGTACTTAGCACGGTGCATAGGCAACTGGCTGAGTCAGTGGGATCGTCGGTTCGAATCCTACTGAAAGAAGTCTGATGAAGAAATGTGGTGATTTCCGAAATAGCTATCACTTCTACCATTTTTTCAAATTATTGTTGCTTTTCCACAATAACTTTTCATTTAAAAAACGGCCTCGAGTTCAATATAAATTGTTGAATATAATTGTTATAAGGCCACAATATAACAAAAACAAATAACTTAAGGACGAGCACACCTAAAACTTAAACTTTCTAAAAATAGAATTATTAGTAAAAACTAGAGATGTGACGGATAGAGATTTGGCCGGATAACCGGATACCGGATATCCGGCAAGATGCGAGGCCGGATAGCCGAATATCCGGCGGCCGGATATTAAATTAAAGATTTCATTATTTCTAGTTCGGCAGGCAATAAACGACAATAAACGGATGGATCGATGTCAGTTATCTTTGGAAAATAACGTACTGCAGTCTGGCAATACTGAAAATCAACAAATTAAAATCTGGCATTACTGAAAATCAACAGCTGATTGTTTCAATTATTTAACTTCATAATTTGTACGAAAAGAGCAGAGAACATGCCTTCAATGAAAAGAAAATCGCCTATTTGGCAATATTTTGAAATTAAAAGTGAAAATAATAAGTTTGCTATTTGTTTATTGTGCAAACTACCAATTTCTCGTGGTGGTGAAGGGAAAAAAGCAGGTGCGTAAGAGTAATGTTTTTTTTTTGCAGCCTATTTAATGAATACAACCTACAAGTTTCGAATCATATACTTATTAATTTTAAATCTTCCCCCAGGCACATCTGCTATGAGCAATCATTTGAAATTAAAGCACCCAGAAAAATTCATGAATTTGAATAAAGATAAAAAAAAATAACGACGCAGCTACGTCGCTTGCGGAGCCTGTCAACGCTTGTGCAAGTTCCTCTTCTACAGAAAGGCAACAGACTTTGTCAGAGGCGTTCGATAGAAAACTGCTTTGGGACATAAATAATGCAACTGCGAAAAAATACCATTATCTCATAGCAGAAATGATAGCACTGGATAATGGACCACTTTGTGTCGTTGAAAGAGTTGGATTCGCAAGATTACTTAAGCAAGCTTTACCACGCTATGAATTGCCAAGCCGAGCCTTTATGACCCAAAAAATTGTTCCCGATATTTACAACCGAATTTTCAAAAAAATCCAAATAAGAATTTCAAGTGCTGTCGCAGTTTCTGTCACTTCCGACATGTGGACGTGTTTGCGCAATAACTCCAGCTTTCTGAGTTTCACAGCTCATTGGCTTTCTGCAGAATTTAAACTTCAACACGGAGTTATAGCTATGAAACCGTTTTTAGGATCTCACACAGGAGAAAACATAGCAAATGAACTCAATAGTATTGCATCTCGCTGGGATATTGAACAAAGCAAAATACATGTTCTTGTTCATGACAGTGGCGCAAACATGGTCAAAGGCGTTCGAATGGCGCAGTATAATTCCGCCAGGTGTTTCATTCATTCGCTTCAGAGGGTTGTGCTTGAGTCTTTGAAAGTACAACCTGAAGTAATGGACTTGATTGCCAAAGGTACACGTATCGTAACTCACTTCAATCATTCAGGTTTAGCAAAAGAAAAATTACTGGCGCTTCAAAAAGAACTATGTTTACCAGAGCATCAATTGGTGCAAGATATAAACACGAGGTGGAATTCCACTTTCTATATGGTGGAACGCTTATTGGAACAAAAACGTGTTATCTCCCTTTATGTGTCTAAAAACGACACACTTACTAATCTAACAACTCGTCAGTGGTGTTTGATGGAGCAGTGTGTACAACTTTTGAAGCCGTTTGAAGAAATAACTAAAATTACAAGTTCTGGCCTCTCCTGCATATCTGAAGTTATACCGCATGTAGCTGCATTAAAAAAGTTCTTAGACAAGGACGAAACTGTACGACGAACAGCCGATTTACTTAATATGAGAGCCTCCTTAAAAGCGCAATTGGCATCTCGTTTTATTTCCTTAAGTGAAGATCCAAAATACCTTATTGCAACTTTTCTGGATCCCAGATTTAAGGCTAACTTTTTGGGAAAAGTTGAAGCTGAAAGAGCTCGACAGACTATTTTATTGGAACACTTAAAAATGACTTGCGACACGTCTTCCATCAGTAGTTGTTCATCGACGTCTTCAACTAGACCTAAACAGTTACGATTAAATAAAACTCATTCAAATGTAGCTCGTGAATCTCACGAAACATTTTGGGATTGTTTTAATGAAGTGGCAGATGAAAACAACATTCAGTCTCGCGATCATGAGAAGAACCCAATTGCTACCGAGATTGAATTCTTCTTGAAGGAAGTTCGAATTGATCGCAGTCAGGATCCTTACGCTTGGTGGTCGTTTAACTCCAAAAAATACCCAATTTTAACGTCGCTTGCCAAAACGTTCCTTTCAGCTCCTTGCAGCAGCGTTTATAGCGAAAGACTTTTTTCGGAAGCTGGCTTGGTTTACGAAAACAAGCGAAATCGTTTATTGTCTGCGAACGCTGAAAATTTAGTTTTTATTCACCATAATCTACCTCTTCTTAATTTTGAGTATTAATGTCAATCGTTTTCTTAATTGGACGTTTTTTAAGTTTTTAGTTTATACATAAATTTTTCAGTAAAGTGAATATCTCAAAACGTATTTTAAGTTTTTGAAAGATAATTTGTAATTTTTTGTTACTTTTTTACCTTTAAATAAAAGCTATTTTATTGTTAGTTACTTAAAAAAAATTATTTGCTTATAATAATTCTAAGAAAATATCCGGCCGGCCAGATACCGGATAGTAGCTCATTATCCGGTATCCGGCCGAATAGTAAATTTAGGCCGGATATCCGGCAAACCGGATAGTTACCGGATATCCGTCACATCTCTAGTAAAAACCAACAATTCCAACAACCACATGATCGAGTGAATTGCA